TCTCTCTCTCTCTCTCTCTCTCTCTCTCTCTCTCTCTTTCCGTACGTCGTGTTTTACTATCGTATTCATACGACATGGGGAACTCTGTGCCACCATCTTCCAAAGAGGAAATTTACTCGTTAATTGAATCAGTGCGCTTTGCATAGCAGTCTGTCAAAATGATGTTTTGAGAAATCTTCGTACTAGAAGTATTCTAAAATGTGAAGAATACAACCTCAGAGGTACAACATGACCCCAGGGCGTTCGGATGGTTAAGATCATAACAATTATAGTCCGACAAACATGAGTTATGAAAGTTCGACAAATGCACCCACATCCCCCCCCCCCCTTTTTTTCCCCCAAAACATTAGACATTATCTTATTTATATTAAAAAAAACAAATAATAGCCCGGTTGATATCGTCCCTTCATTCTATCCCGCAGCTGTTTTTCTCGAATATTTTTAGTTTTTAATACATTAACAAAAATTTTTTGCATGTATATACTGTCACTACCTTAAAATTACACAGTTCTATCCGAATTTTTTGGCCGTTTTTAGTTACTAAAACCACGAGATTAAAAACTAAATGTTCTATCTGCTCTATCAAATTCGAAAGGTTATTTGGAGTCGTTATCAAGATATCCAAAGAACTGCATTTATTGAAAAAGCTTGACAATGTCGTGAAACTCAAAATATTCAAGGCGACATTTCTTGAAGCACTTTGTAGCTCTGGGGTTTTGATATCCTAGTTAGGTTTTGTTTTTGCTTTTGCGTATATTTTAGCTTTAGGTTTGGCTTTTGGATATTTTTTGGGGGGGTCTCTATTTTGGTCTTTGTTTTTGTTTTTGTTTTTTCTATTTGTAATGATATCTTACCTTCACATGACCTATCCAGCAGCATTTTCTGCACAGTTCTCTGGGCGTTGAGGCTACCGCTGAGGAAGCGGACCACGTTGTTCCTGTTGGCTGCCATGCTCTGGACAAAGTTACTGAAGCCGCGCACTCCAAGGTCCACCACCACCAGCTCGATACCGTCGTACTGCTCGGCGTTTCTCGCCTCGTTCACGATGCCAAACCTGACAAACGAGAGATGACGAGAACGTTTTATCTCACATACAGAATATTCATGACAACATGCTTCATTTTGTTTTACCTGACACTTGAGCAAGAAAGTGAATCTTGTATCTTACAGAATATCCATGATAGCATGATTCATCTCGTTTTACCTGACAGAATATTCATGATAGCTTGCTTCATTTTGTATTTTCTGACACTTGAGCGAGAAAGTGAATCTTACATACAGACTATTCATGATAGCATGATTCATTTTGTATTTTCTGACACTTGAGCGAGAAAGTGAATCTTACATACAGAATATTCATGATAGCATGATTCATTTTGTATTTTCTGACACTTGAGCGAGAAAGTGAATCTTACATGCAGAATATTCATGATAGCATGATTCGTTTTGTATTTTCTGACACTTGAGCGAGAAAGTGAATCTTACATGCAGAATATTCATGATAGCATGATTCGTTTTGTATTTTCTGACACTTGAGCGAGAAAGTGAATCTTACATGCAGAATATTCATGATAGCATGATTCGTTTTGTATTTTCTGACACTTGAGCGAGAAAGTGAATCTTACATGCAGAATATTCATGATAGCATGATTCGTTTTGTATTTTCTGACACTTGAGCGAGAAAGTGAATCTTACATACAGAATATTCATGATAGCATGATTCATTTTGCTTTACTGGACCTTCGAGCAAGAAAAGACATGTTTAATCTTACATAAAATCCATGAGAACATGCTTCATTTTGTTTTACCTGACACACGAGCGAGCAAGAGAATGTTTTTTATCGTAAAGAATATTCATGATTTCAAAGAAAGGTCATCATCATCATCATCATCATCATCATCATCGTCATCATCATCATCATCATCATCATCATCATCATCATCATCATCATCATCATTTTATAACTATTCATAGCACAGATTACCTGTTCAGCCTCATGCTCTCGTCATCAACAAAGAGCACGGCGACCTGTTTGGCCTCTCTGTTGGCCTGGTTTCTGCGGGAAAGAGCTCTCATACGGGCCAGGAGCCCGCTGTAGGTGTCCACATCAGCCTCTTCCACCAGGCTGAACCTGTAAAAAAACACGGCGTTTTTCGACGATGTGGTTCACAAATCTTCGGAAAGCATTTCATATTATGCTCTAAACCCAGTAAGCATTTTTTTCAGGAGTAAGTGCAAGGGAAAAAACGTTCATTCTTTGATCATGAGTATAATGTACTTAGTGGAAGTGCAACAATGATGCCAAGTGCTCCGTGTAATCCCCCACCCCACCCCATCCCTCCCTACCCTTTGCTATGTCTTTTACAATGTACTCTAATGAATTGCACTTTCCCAATTTCAGTAAACACCCTTCTAACAGGCTCCCTCTTGACGTCAGGACGTTGTCCTGCACAACTAAAGATAGATCTAATGAACGCTGGATAGAATCTGGCCTTTGGCTTGGACTAAGGAAGATCACTTTAGCTTTCAGAAGAGCCCACACACTTTGACTGATAGTTTGCTTTTTAAAAAATAGCATCTTTACTTGATATACAGTGTTATTTTCTTACGTCTGTTCACATTATCTTTGTCCTTCACTTTGGTGTTTATTTCATGCAAATATGCTAAATGGAATCAGAGTTATAAAGTTTTAGGAACGTTTGACAAACTTTGAATATCGAAAAATGGCTGCGTACAAATATTATGCTTTCTATGTCTGAAGCTTTAAAGGCATGAAACAGCATGTACACTATGAAGTATTTGTTTATTTGTTTGTTTGTTTGAGTAAAGAGAAGCACATCGACACAATAATGGTCATTTAGTGCTGGGAAAAAGTAAGAGACAGACAGAAACAACTGAGGGTAAAGTAAAGAAGTAGGACATACCAGTGGCGCCCTCCAACCACCCTCATGTATGAAGTATGAAAACGTGTGTTTTAGATTACTTTTTGATGGATCGAAATGTGTCAAAACATTGATTCACTTTTCTCTGCTCTGCTGCTGATTGGATGCTTGTAATCGCTTCGTTTTTAAATAGCCAAGCTCTAGCCTGTCACAACACAAGTTGTTGGCTTTTATTTGTTTTGTTTGTTGTTGTTTTTCTGAAACACATTTCAACATAACACCGCCTTAAGCTCTGACCAAACATTGTAGTCTTATTGTCTTTACTTCTTTGGTTTGCCTTTCTCTCAAATAGATGGAAACATTACACAGCTTAAAGCTCTGATCTAAACCATTGTACATTGATTTTCTTTACTAGTTTGCTTTAATTTTTATCTTTATCAAACATGTTCCAACATAACGCAGATTAAGCTCTGACCTGTCATAATGCAGACGTATGACCTTTACTACATGCACTTTGATTTATTTTCCCTCAAACATGTTCCAAGAACAACGTAGGGTTAATTAATCCCTGATCTGCTACAATATATGTTTATGACCTTTACTAATTATTTGTATTGCCCTTTTTCGAACGTGTTCCAAACACAATACAGCTTTATCCCCTGATCAGTCATACATAATACAGGTTTATGGCCTACACTTCAGAGCATTGCCCATTCCAAAACATGTTCCAAACCCAACACAGCCATAACCTCTGACCCGTTACAGTACAGGTTTATGACCTTCAGTGTTTGGATTGCCCTCCAAACATTTCCAAACACAAGACTTGGTTAACCTCTGACATGTCATGGCCTTTACTTGTCCGTATTGACCTTTCCCAAGCATAGCACCACACAGTGGTAACCTCTGACCTGTCCTGGTGTTACTTGATTCCTTTGCCCTTTCCCCAAACAATTCCAAACAGAAGACATGGCTAACCTCAAACCTGTCATGGTCTCTACTTGTTTGCTTTGCATCTGACCAGACATGACCTATACATTTTTGCTTAGTCCTTTCCCCAAACATTTCCAAACACAAGATATAGCTTGTCATTGTCTTAACTTGTTTGCTTTGCCCTTTCCCCAAATAATTCCAAACACAACACAGTCTTGGCTAAGGTTAACCTCTGACCTGTCACAGAAGTTGCCGACATCCTCTAGAGGCACGTTCTCAGCGTTCTGGCAGACGTCGATGATGTAGCTGATGCGGAGACTGTCGCTCTCGTCGTCGCTGCGCTCGATGAAGTTGTCTATGAGTTGGATAGCGTCCTGGGTGCCTCCTGGCGCCGCCACGAAGTACAGGTCAGCGGGCTGCTGGACACCACAGTCTGGCAGAGTACAAGAAACCACAATTTAATAATGAATTTAGTATTAATTGTATTGATAATTCTAATAATAAATTTGATAACGAAGTTCTAAATGATTTTCTTCTGTCATAATCACAACGATAATAGCAATACTTCTACTACTACTACTACTACTACTACTACTACTACTACTACTACTACTACTACTGCTACTACTACTACTAATAATAATAATAACCATAATAATAATATCAATGATAATAATAATAAAAAAAATAATGGTAATAACTATCCAGATTACTAACATTATTATCATTATTGCTATTATTATTACACTTAGTTTATTATTATTATTATTTCATCATTATTATCAGTGTCATTTATAAAGATCGGTGGTAAAAATCTTAGCTTCACACTCTAGCAAACAAGACCATATTATTTCAAAATGTTCCGCATCTACTTGAAGCAGCAGGATATTAATAAAGTCGATTTTGTTGCAAACAAGAATTACGCTGCTTTATTCTGGGGTGGGGGTTGGAGGGGGGGGGGATTATAAGAATCAAAACGTTTCAGTTTTAAAGCTTAGCACAACAGGGTGTGTTTCGTTAACCTCTGCAAAAAAAAACCACCCAAAAAAACCAGGAAAGATACAAGTAGTGCTTCAGATCTACATCTGAGGTAAAATGAAGCGTAATAATTTACTTGTTTCTTTTTACATAACGTGTTTTAAACTAATTTCTTCGGACACACAATGTGGAAAGAAGCATTGGAGAATATTGTAACAACAGGCAAGTTAGATGGAAAGCGAGGCAGAGGCAGACAGAGGGAAAAGATACTGGACAAGATGACAACATGGCTAGGAGCAGCAAGAACAACAGACACCATTGCTGCAACGCAAGACAGAGTGAAGGGGAGGTCCATGGTCGCCCACGCCAGTCGGCAAGGCACCGGATGATGATGACTCAGTTAAACTATGACTCACATCCTCCAACAATGATGGGCGGCAGAGCGCAGGCACGAGGGGGCAGAGAATACTTGACGCTGTCCAGGTACCGGAAGTTGGTGATGTTGTAGATGAAGCTGTCGTCAGGGTCGCTGGCAATTGCGCGCCATTCGCGCTCGTCCAGGTACTGGCCGACGCCAACAACGAACAGGTAGAAGCCAGCCTCACGGGCCATCTCGGCCTCACGGGCAGTAGCGCCGGGCGAGCGGGAGCCTCCATCAGTGACCACCACGATCACCTTGGTGATGTCCTGCAGCCAGAGACATGTGTTATGTGTATTATGTTTTATGTATTTTATCTTATGTGTTATGTTTTATGTGTTATGTCTTATGTGTGATGTTGTATGTATTGTGTTTTATATATTTTGTCATGTCCAGCAGCCAGAGACACGTGTTATGTGTATTTATATTTTATGTATTATGTTTTATATATTTTGTCATGTCCTGCAGCAAGATGCACGTGCTACGCGTATTATGTTTTATGTATTTTGTGAAGCGATGTCATACAGGCACATGCATGTGTTATGTATTTTGTTTTATGTGTCATGTCTTATATGCTATGTTGTGTGTATTATGTTTTATGCATTTTGTGATGTCCTAGAGAGAGATACATGTGTAACGTATTATGTTTTATGTATTTTGTGAAGCGATGTCATACAGGAACACGCATATATGTCATGTATCATGCTTTATTTATTATGTTTTATGTATTTTGTGATGTCATACAGGCACACTGCTGTCTTATGTATTACGTTTTATGTACTTTGTGATGCCCTACAGTTCGATAAATATGCTCAGTATAATGTATTGTGTATTTGTTTTGCCTTTAACACCTTTGTGATGTCATAGAGCCAGATACATGTTTTATGTATTTTGTTTTTATGTATTATGATTATTCAGTTTGCCGTGTGCGCTATGCATTATGTATTATGTATTCGCTTTGTCTTTAAACCCTTTGTGACATCATAGATACAGATACATTTATTGTGCATAATGTGTTTACCTTGTCTTTTGTTTCTTTTTGTTTTTGTAAAGTGTTTTACGGCGCTCGCGACTGCATAAGGTCATATGAGCGCGCGGGACACACCTAATATTTTCAGTTGGTAGAAAATTTTGAATTTTGCACGGGTGGAGGCCGAAGCCTACTCTTATCGATTTTAGACCACCAAGGGATCTTTAACGTGCGAGATTTTTCGCCCTTGTCCGAGAAGGCTAGGTGTAGATCTTTCCTACCAGAAGATCAGGAGTGTTGCTGAAAGACAGCAGTAAGAAGAAGCGAAACAGTAGCAGTAGAAAGGCTGCAGAAAGAATCAGGAGCCCAGAGGAAGGGGCAAAGGAGGTGAGGGGGTGGGGGCAGAAAGAGGAGAACTACTACTACTACTACTACTACTACTACTACTACTACTACTACTACTACTAATAATAACCATAATAATAATATCAATGATAATAATAATAAAAAAAATAATGGTAATAACTATCCAGATTACTAACATTATTATCATTATTGCTATTATTATTACACTTAGTTTATTATTATTATTATTTCATCATTATTATCAGTGTCATTTATAAAGATCGGTGGTAAAAATCTTAGCTTCACACTCTAGCAAACAAGACCATATTATTTCAAAATGTTCCGCATCTACTTGAAGCAGCAGGATATTAATAAAGTCGATTTTGTTGCAAACAAGAATTACGCTGCTTTATTCTGGGGTGGGGGTTGGAG